TGCTCTGTCTCAATACTGATCCCCAAACATCACAATATGATGATGAGTTAAAAGACTCATCGATATAACATTCTTAAAGTGACTACATCTTATAAACTGTTGTAACTATGTCTGCATGGTTTAAAACCCTAGTAAGGGATACAATGCTAAAGGAAGAAGCATTGCAACCGTACAAAGTGGGAGTACGGTTGAGGTCGTGACTCTCTAAAGGATTAGGGGGAGGTCACTTGGTTTGATTAACTATCCACTTTAAAGTGTAGAGTGTGATGAAGGCACAACCTAGTACATTTGTCATCTATCTCATTAAATTTTCCCTGATTTATGTCCAAGAATCACTACCGGAGGACGCTCCAAAGTGTAGCTAGATTCCAGGGAAATTTCAACATAAATGGTTATGAGAATGTGTATGCACTCATGTAAAGAGCTTACACTTATATTGACAATATATATTCTTATATCGTGGCTCAAGTAATTACATAGCACGATGATATCGAACCTAGCTCTATTGTAGTATAATAACAAAGAGCATTGACCTAAATGAATATATGTAATCCAGGTAGAACTTGATTCTTTGACAAAGAGACAGGTATTTGGTGTGGTAAGTGCTAACCGATCAAGTGTAAAGCCTGTAGGACATAAATTAGTATTTGTCATAAAGCGTATTGAGAAACTGTAAGGTCTTGAGAGTTTCTCACAAGCGCCCTGGATTTATCCAAAAGGGAGACATATACTCCTATATTGAACGTTACTGTTCTACTACTTTGTCCTCTAAAGTATAAGAGATGCAAATAACAAATGTGGGTTATAAATATCTCAATTAGGGTCTTGATTGAGACATATATTTGAAACTTGAAAGTAGTTGATGTACGTTCATAACCCATGTCAATTCACTTGACAGTTGAGTACGTTCTCATTGAGAATGAAACATTCACTTTCGAGATTGAAATAGACTAGATTAAAAGGGTATATCCATATGAAGAGACAACTTATCTGAAAAGGGATATAAAGAAGACAAGTTCAAGATTTACAACTATCATTATGGTACTCTAAATGAAATATGAGCAAACCTTGAATAGTTGAAATCT